AGGTACATTACGTCGTTGAATGTTACTGGCATATGTGGAAAGGTCAAAAAGATTTCGTAATGATGGAATTCCAAGGAACACGTGCAAGCGTTCCCGCGGCCAATATGTGTGATAAACGTACGACGGGAATTCAAACAGGTAATGGTTTACTTAGGTTTTGGGAAGTTCACCAGGAGAAAACGCAATTTTGTTCATTCTTTTCATTCTTCACCAGGGGGACAGCCCTCAAGCTACCGATTAATGAGGAAGAATGCCGCTGTTTCCGATCCTCTAATTAGTCATGTTTGTATTCGTTCAGTAAAGGAATCCAAAGAAGAAGAGCTTGAAAAACGAGGAACAGAAAAATTAGTTGTGGGAAAAAGTTCATGGGGAAGCGACAAGTCACCCGTGGCCACTGCGCGAGCAATTTCGAGCCTAAGGCCAAACCCAGGCATTCATCGCTTCGTGACCAATTTGTTTTCGTGAAAGGGCTCCAGAAACATGCATGGAAGCCTACCCCAACGCCACGGGGAGCTCCACGGCTTCTTCAAAATGCATACGTCGCGCAATCGAGACGGATTATATAACAGATTCGTGCTTGTGGAAGCAATTTGTAACTAAATCACCCATGCATAGCTGGCAATGCGTAACGACTTTTGCAGGTGGTTGTTTGCATTACGCGAATACGGTAGTGGGTAGTGCTCCGATAACCACGAATTCTCGAGAAGGGAAACCTCGATAAACAGCAACGAATGAAACAGAAACGGAAGCCGCCAGTCGGCAGCGACGATGTTTCACAAGAGGAAGCCGCCGCGTCGCCACCACGCCAAATCCAATTGCGTACACCAGCCACGCCCCCTTTCCACCCCCGCAACTGAGCAGTAATTGATCCCGAATCGACTCATTTGTCTACCATACCACGGTAGGCCGTCGTTGGGAGAATTTTCCAACCAGCTCCACTCCATTCCCACTTTTTTCTTCCCGTTTAGCGATTTCTCAACGCACTGCATAATTCGTACTGGGTCCGAAAAATAAAAGTCACAACCATGGTGATGGGAATACCTTTGAACAAAGCAGAATCCGGTATAGATTGCTGGACGAAAAAAAGATCCAGAAATGGGTCTACGTTTCGTCTGAAATGCACCTTCCGGCTGGTACAAAGACGAACATGTTCGTAAAGCCAATTGCCCATTTTAAGTTTCCAACAGCTAAAGTGGAATCATGGCAGTGAAGCAGGTTTCGAAGCGCTTTCCGGCGTTCTGGACATGCAAGTAGATGAAACTGCAGTTAGGGATGGCTCCCAACCCTTCCCTTATCTAAGCTATTGGAACTAGCAATCATTTTTATTTCGGCCCAAAAAGCATTTTGTGTCTTTGTTTGGCGAAAGTTCGGTTCCAAGGCCTTACAGGACTGATAAAAAGCCATTTGGGAGAGTGGAAGCCACAATTCTGTGAACTACGGTGGCACGACGCTTGACCTTCGTCCGCTAGTTTGCCTGTGTTCATCGAAAGGATTGCGCGATTGCAGACAATCCACCCAGTGTCCGATACTAATTCCTAGGCCTCACGCTAATGATGCGCGAAAATGAAATTGAAAACGATCCGAGGATCGGAACGCAGAACAGCGAGCGGACCAAACGTTCGTCCTTCTGTTAAAAAAATGGGATTCGGTTGTGCTCCATTGAACGTTGGTATTTCGTATGATCTTTACCACCCAAGGCTCTTCTGGAAGGGGCATGAATGCCTAAATATCTCTGCGTAGCCGTTAACTATTCCAGAAGAAGGTAGTAAGCAGGCGAGACTTTCAATGGTCTGGCTCACTTTACAGGAGCTATTCTAGGCGAAACATTCCTCAAATGTGCTTCCATAAGCTGAAGCAAGCCCTCCTTCCTACTCACCGTCTTTAGAATATCACTCCATCTGCCATCAACCTCAAGCTCAAAGGTGCCTATTGCCGCTCCAGCCTGGATCAGCTACCGTATTGGTTCCACCAATTCAAGGGGGAAGCTTTCCAGAGACGGTAACTCTAATCTGGGAAGACTCCTTTCGACCCGGACTTCGGAGAAAGTTGTATTGAGATACAGTCTGTCGAAAGCCTCGTTGAGCTCGAACCGTTAACCATGTTCCCGTGGCAGATCCAATTGATGTCGTGAGTACAATAAGCTAGTATGAGGTTTTTTTTTCAAATGTTCTCATATTTCCAGTCGGGAGCAGGGTCAACCCTACCTTGCTACAAGTAACAACGGGGGGTCGTAATTGTTTCGGTAGCGCGAAATTACAGGGGGGCAATAAAAAAAAGACATTTTGTCTCCAGACTCAAATGGATTTAATCACACTTTGCTCAGCTCAAAGCGTGTGCTCCCAACTTAGAATTGAAGAGCGCATTTCATTCATAAGAAAATCTTCATAGTGGCCATCTACGTGGACGGCATCAGAAAAGTTTGCCCCGGAAACATGGTGCTCTGGTCGAGCTCAATGGGGTTCTCGACTGATCGTGTACCGTTACGACGGGTTCCGAAGGGCGGGTTCCGAGGGGGTTTGCATAGTTAGAGCTAATGTCCCTAGGAAACTATCCCACGTTGAATCGATCCAAGAAATTATGTAAGAGCTTCAGGCTGAAGCAGTTACTGTAGGCCTCCCTGAGCTCGACGACGGTGACAGATGACGTCATATTCTGAAGACGGTGAGGGTAGTGAAGGAGGGCTGCGTGTACTTATAGAGGGACATTTAGGGAATATTTTGCTGAGGAACTTCCGTCAGCGACGGCAATCTCTGCGAAGAAAAAAGGCCGAAGTGCGACCTGGGCAAAATGTCTTTTTTTCTGGCCTCCCCCGTATATGTGATGAGGTGAGAGCGCGCGGTAGAAAATTTGCCGTTTCAGTGTGCGTATATATCTCCCCTTGCCCTTCTGAAAAATTTTGGAAAAGTACCAACGACAGACCCTGGTGGGGAACGCTCAGTATGAATCAGGCGAAGTGTGATTAACTTTGTGAAGTCCCTTTTTCCCCACTGTATATATCATTTCAGTTTTTCGGGTGGTAGCGCTAACCGCTTACTCCTCAACTCCTCTTCTGAAGTCTATACCGTTCTTTATTTATTCAGCCATAGAAAAATATGGCGAAAATCTGAAACTTACGTTAATTTCTTCTCACACTTGGCACACTTGAAGCATTGATTGTGATAAAGCTGCTTATTGGCGAACACGCGTTCGACAGGATAGACGGTTCTGCCGCACACTGCACAGTCTTTTGGCGCTTCGTCGGCGGTCATATCCTAAAAAATGAGACGCGGATTACGTGGCTCAAGTTGGAAACCGGTATCGGGCGATGGCCGTCAAACAGCAAGAGACCTTAACGTGCAATTCATTCAGATATTGGCTTGAAAAAATAGATTCATCCCGGTCGTAACACACGATTCGATGTATTTATTTGTGCTCTGATGGACATAAAGGCGACTAGCGTACGAGTTTTAACGAGCAAAAACCGTCTAACCGGAACAAATGATCCGGATCGGACGCGCATCATGAACTTGCCTACCTCATCGACTCGGTTGCAGACTGACCATAAGTGGTCATCCAGCTTCACCCACGGGTTCGGAGGAAGGAGGGTAGAGGTTTGGAAGGCGAGGGGAAAACGGGGAAGAGAAATCTGGGCTGAAGACCATTATCATGACCTTTTTGTGCTCAGTCCACACTCTAATGTCCCGTTGCGAGTATGGGAGAGCTAAAGACGATTGCTGAAAGGAAAAGTGACGGGGAAATAAAACGGGTGAACTACTGCCAGTACTTCCCTTTGTTCAAGTCCCAGGCGGGCAGTTTTCCATTCAATACAGAATAGGGTGTTAATGTCCTCAGGGGAGGGGGGAGGAGTGGCTCGATACGTTGCACACAGTCTTGAAATTTATCGGAGAAAGCGGCGTCAGCACATCAGAAGAGCGCACCCCGCCAACAAGCGTGACAAACGCTAAAGAATAAGAAGAAAAAGATGTCCTTAGGGGAAGGGCGTTGAAAACAGGGCATTTAAAAACAGCTGGCAGGTTACGCTAGGATAAGCCCAACAAAGGTAGGAAAGGGGTTTGGGGAACACAGGTTCTCACGCGCTCCCCCCAGGATCCCCTCCCTTCCCTAACCATGAGGTCTGAATACGGCTCACTCATTTCAATGTCCCCCCCCCTAATGACATCAACAGCTTAGATCAAGTGGTACCAACTCGACATTAACTCGATGGTCATTGTCCTTCTCCTATATGAACTAGAAACTCGATCTATTGTTCTGTCGGTGTCTATCCGTCAGTGATGAAGTGGTAAGCTAATGAGGTAAACCACCGCCAACAGAACTGAGAAGCCCACAGGTCTCGGGGTGCCAAGGTTTTGTGGTGTCGTGGTGACGATTATACATCCCATCTATTCCATAAGCATCCGAATAGCACAATTCCGCCCGTTTCACTTGGTGCTCTTGCCGCACTTGTAGGGGAACGTAGAAAGAGGCAGGGAAGGAGGCAGAACCATCCACTCGTAACCCCCAGGTCCAAAGTAATGATTGCGATGATACCCTGCACTATAGAAGACCTTCTTATTGTGCATATGCATCATCTCCGTTATTTGCTCGCCTAACTAGTTAAAAGTAGCACAGGGTATCCCTTTTTGGGATTCAACCTTGGTTTCCTTGAAATACGTGACAGCAAAGAGTCGCCAAACTCCGAAAAAGGTGAACAGTAAAACCTCAATTTTTGGCTGCACATGGCTGAATTCTCTTCATGATTGATACTGAAACGAATGGGAATTCATGATTTTCACAAAAATTTTCACATTTGTGGTTTAGCGTTATGGCTGAAACTCTAGGTAAAACTGAGTTCATGACGTTGACATCTCCGCAGGTAATGCAACTTGAAAATGAGGCCAGGAATTGAAGGAATGTAGGATTTCCCTAGACCATTAGATTCGACCTGTTCATGGCTATCCAGTGGTCTAATTTTAAAGCCATTCGATCCATTTTTTTCAGAATTTGCGGCAAAACGATGGTTTCCGACGGGGAAATCTGGAGGAGCAAAAATTAGGGACGACATAGCATCTTCGTTACACTAGGCGCTGTGGTGCACGGATGCGGGATGCACGATAGATTTGGTAGCAATGTATTCATGGAGCAAAAAGTGCATTTTGGTCTCAAAGGCAAGAATCAGGATTAAATTGATGGGGTGATTCCACTCAAATGTGAAAGTAGGGGTGGGAGGTGGACCGCCAGTGGAGAAAAAAATCCTGAAATACACAGGAAATACGAGCATTTTGCTCTATGCTGCGGAGAAGTTCAAAAGGCCGGCAGGGAGATGAGAGATAATGTGAGCGCGGAGAGCGGTAGAGAAGTCCGAGAAGAGAGAGCATAGCAGATCAACGCAGCGACGCAGACAAGATATCGAACGGTGGGCGGACCATGTTAAGTTTGGTGGAGTCTGTTAGAAGTCCATGGCGCCTAGGGTCCTAGTGACGCGTTTCGATGTAGAAAGGTGGCGCTACCTTTGCACTTGCGTACCCAGCACTTCTAGCCAAGGGCTTCTTAGGTGGGTCTGAGCCCGAACTTTGCCTTTAAAGGCGATCATATTGCATTGAAATTGCTGCGAGTTTGTTCGACATGGTTGCCTCCGGTACGACTTACAGCTAGTGGCAGCCACGGGTACGTTGTGACGGCGACGCGCATGATTTCTTTGAGAGTTTCAGTCCACGGCTTGTTCGGTGACTTCACAGTTTCTAGTTTTACTAGTTATGTGAATCCTGGAGGCAAACATCTGGCTGTTATGGATGTTCGAGTTTTCTATTATGATAAACAATTCTTCATCCGTGGAAAATGTGACATATCGCGGGCAGCTGTGGAAGCATGCTTGATGCTTCCACGAGATGTATACTTTGCATCCGGCAGCCATTTGCTTGCCCACTGCAGACTTCACAGCACACGTGACGTCGGCCTCCACAAAATGTAATAGTTTTCTGACAACAAGGTGTTAACCTGTTGCAGTTGCATTCCACCTTTTTCTTAAGCGCTTGTCCCACCCGGTGGCCGAGGTCCGCTTTCCTGGTATGTTGACCCCACTTTCCCCGAGTGTATGCCTGTTCTCCAACTTTACCTGTATGCGTCGACCCCAGCTTTTTCCCCGATTGCTATGCCTGTTCGGGCTGAAGGAACATTCTATTTCAAGTCGGTGAAACTCGGGTTCGGGGGGGGGGGGTCACGCGATAGCGCGGTGCTTGCTCGTCTGCTCCTCTGAGGCTTAGTCCACAGGGCGACAGTTACTCACCTTGCAAAGAAAGGAAGATGCACGCTTTGGAAGTGGGGTGTTTATATCGGCGTGAGGGACTGCCACAACGTCCGACCCAACCACGCCCATCAGGCCGTGCATCTTCCTTTCTAGCGGCTTCCAAGGTGAGTTTTTTGCTCACACTTCTTATGTTCTTGACTAGGGCTAGCGCATCGTTCTACACCATTAGTGTCGAAGGTAAAAACCCTGCTGGGACTGTTGCTTTAAAAGCAGACGAAAACAGCGCCGCACCACAGCGCGGTCCTCCCGAACCCGAGATTCACTTTCAAGTTTTCATGCGACGTTTCGAGCCATCATTGCTTCGGGCATCCTATTGGCCGCTTTCCTGGCACGTTAAAGTCTAGACCAATCTTACGGACACTGCCGTCATTAGCGACATTCAGTAGCAATTTAAACTACTTCAGCTGCCAAATAATTAATTGAGCTTATTTATCAGCCTACATATGGTACCCTAGGAACATCCACTTTCCAGAATTTATATAGGTTGTCTCATAAGTAAATGGCGCAATTTTTCAAACGGAACTTTTTTGTGAACCTCAATGTTTTACAATGATTTCATATTTTTGTATTATTATTATTTTATACAATAACTTCGTTCATAACCATTCGATAGGAAATTATCTGCTACAAAGAAGGTATGTACCCTTTTTTTGATTGTTGCAAATTGTTTGAGTTTTAGGCATGCAAAGTGGGAGCTTCAGACGACGAATTTTTGCCAAACCGACAGCTGACCTAAACTTTATACTTCCCTAGAAATCAATCAATAATGTAACTATAACTTACTCATAACCTCTACTAAACATTCCACATTTAGGTTCCCTAAAAGCTTGTCTCGTTTAATTTTGAGATTTAGTTATTCCAGTGCAACTCGGTGGTTGCCTGTCAACCCATAGGGCTTCCTTCAGACTGATATTTTCCATTCCAATTCCTCAGTATTGACGCTACTTTATACACCTGTAGGAAGCGTTTCTTCTGCTCTACTTACCCGCATGCAGAATTTGGTTTTGATTTCAATCCTGTCGAGTTTCAGCATAGAAAATGGTGGTATGTCAAGTCGACGAAAAGGAACACTTCCGGCACCTTCTGCTGTTCACCTTCAACCAAGGATCGAGTGCCACAAAAGCCGGCAGGCAACCACCGAGTTGCACTGGAATAACTAAATCTCAAAATTAAACGAGACAAGCTTTTAGGGAACCTAAATGTGGAATGTTTAGTAGAGGTTATGAGTAAGTTATAGTTACATTATTGATTGATTTCTTCTAGGGAAGTATAAAAGTTTAGGTCAGCTGTCGGTTTGGCAAAAATTCGTCGTCTGAAGCTCCCACTTTGCATGCCTAAAACTCAAACAATTTGCAACAATCAAAAAAAGGGTACATACCTTCTTGTAGAGCAGATAATTTCCTATCGAATGGTATATGAAACATTGTAAAACATTAGAGGTTCACAAGAAAAATTTCCGTTTGAAAAAATGCGCCACTACTTATGAGACAACCTAATAGATGCGATGGCATGCACTGTTGTGGGCCCTGTAGTGCAGAACTCCCTACCCGGCTAATTTATATAGAAGATAGATCGTGCAGGAAGCAATCATGTATAGCATCGTAGCTAAAATGCAGACTTTTCAAAGAGCAGCGTTTGAGCATAGAAGATCAAAAATATTACTTATGTTTGCATTAGTTCGCTAATACGAATCGATGTTTCTGTGCTGTAACACGTCTGTTGCCTATGATACTGGGGAGAATTCTTTCGAGTCAGCCGCGTATTACGCGCATGAGACCAAACGCATTCTAATAGTATTACAAATTTGAATAAAGTTGGGACGGTGGCGGGTGCTAAAAAAAGATTCACCGGACACTCGTCATACCTTCCAGTTAAATGGCAAGAGGACGTGGAAAATCCTTGCCGTTTCTGGACACTGGCATCAACAGGCCTTAACATCATGACAGCTTAAGGTTGACTAGAGGCTGCATTTTTTCATGCTTGGGAGGGATTGGATAATGGGGCATTGCCCGTTCTCTGAGGTAGCCGCATAGTTCAGTGGCAGGTACTTTCCCGTTTTATGCATAACCAGAAGCTGCAACGCATAAAACTATATTATCAAAGCCGGGCGGGAAAAACAGATTGGATCAATGATCATCCACGACGGCTTTACTTCTCTCTTTATGGGGGATGCCTGAAGGAATGTCTGGTTTCTTGCTGACTAGTTTGTATGACATTCTTCTCCATGAAGTTCCTGGCTAGTTTCCTCTCTTCTAAAGCTAGCAAAAATTGCAGCAAGCCACGGGAAGCCCCTAATACTGGACGAAACTGCCAAGTCAAAATAACAAGGAACGGATCCTGTTGAAAGATTTGAAATTCGAGCTTCCGTTGTTTGAGATCGACCGAATTAGTTTTACGAATTAAATCGCTGTCCTAGTTCCAGCGTGGCGAATAGAGCACTTATGGATCTTTTGTGCTCAACATCTGCTCTTTGGAAGTCTACGCTTCAATTTCGATGCGCCTAATCCAGTCATTTTTTTTTGATCTGGGAATTTTAGACCCAATATTTTGTACAATATTTTCGCAGTACTTCTTCGGCGTTCATGAAGGCAAAGTCGTAGGGTTTAGCGTCTCAACATGATAAAGCTGCCATTTCTTACAATACCGCCACTAACTTTTGAAATTTCTCCGCTGAGCGACGGATTTGCAGCGTCGCAAAGCGTCGCCCCTTCATAACTCCCCCCAAAGCGGGTCAAATGATTGGTGCTCTACACCATTGGACTCGTCTCTCTGTGGCGAGTCTAACCATGTGGAAAACTACGGTACTCGCCGTAAAAAATCGAAAAAAACACGCGAAAAACGCAAATTCGCGTTTCTTTTTCGTTTTTTCGTTATAACTCGCTTCAGAATTAAGATTTTCGAAATCTGAAAAAAGCATTGATTTCAGCTCGTCGAGTTCTATAAGAATTGTTTTTAACTTTTGGAAAGCCCCACTTCAGATTGCGCCATGCACTCGAGCTTTGGCTCGAGAAAAAATTGTTTGAATGTGGTGCGCATATAATCCCGCTTATGCATCATGATCGTTCTTCAGAGAGATGGGTCTCAGCAGTTGCCCCAGAACGCGCCGCGTATTCAACATCGTCCATTGTATTGTGAATGGATCGATTGCTTTTTTCCAGATTTCATGGTCCCTATTCCACAGCGGCGCGTTAAATGACTTAACACGTAGTCCCTGCGCTCAACATCTCCTCCTCTCGTGTTCAAATGGAAATCATAGATCAATTCTCGGCTGGACAGTTAGCCTATCTGGTGAAATTTTCCAATGTTTGAGCGAAGGTTTTTCCGAAATCTGAGGAGGTAGCGGGGAAATTTCTTCTTAGTTGTAGAGTACGCTTACTTGTGTGTAGGAATAAGATCACACACTTGCTTGCAGATGACCGCTCCCTGCGTGCTGTGGCCATGAACATGCCTCCTCGTCATGCCCTAGCCTATTTGGTGAAATTTTCCAATGTTTGAGCGAAGGTTTTTCCGAAAACTGAGGAGGTAGAGGGAAAATCTCTTTAGTTGTAGAGTACGCTTACTTGAGTGTAGAAATAAGATGACATACTTGCTTGTAGACGAGCGCTTCCGCCGTGCTGTGGCTGTGAAAATGCCTCCTCGTCATGCCCTTGTGGAAAGATCAGATTTTTTGCATTTCCAGATGAACTCGCAGACCTGAGATGTGCCCCATTGGATTCCCCGTGAAAAATGCTATCGAATGATATGCATACTTTCTACACGCATAGCGGTGTATCGATCGGGCTGCCCGCCAGCTACCGAGAAAGGCCATCGGCTGTCACGTGAGCTCTCACGCACCGCGCACGTGAATAGCACGTGGGTGGCCAGGGCTGAGGAAGGCGATCGGCGATAAGGAAAAGGCCGAAAACGGTGAAAAACGAAAGTTTCAAGTGGGAACTGAGATGTATATCGTTCGATAGCATTTTGCATGGAGAATCGAATGGTGTACACCACAGCTCCGTAGAGCCACCTGGAAGACCAAAAAATCTGGTTTTTATTTCAGGGCATGACGGAGAGCGATGTTTGAGGCCACACCAGGGAAGAAACACTCGCTCAAGCCCGAGTATATCATCTTTTTCCAACATACAAGTAAACTTACTCTACGATAGGGAAGAGAGTTCGTCCCTCCCTTCTCGAATTTCCTCAAAACATCCCTTCGAAAATTGGGAAATGTCACAAAATGGATCTAGTGGCAGGTAAACTAGATGTTCTCCAGAAAGTGAGTTGTATACCGTTCGACAGTATTTTTTATGGGGAATTGAATGGTGCACATCTCAGTCTTCTATGTTCATCTGGAGAACCAAAAAAATCTGATCATATCGCAAGGGCATGACGAGGTGTGATGTTTGGGGTCGCACTACGGAAGGAAGACTCACCTGCCACCAAGGTTTCTATGTAATTCCTACAGACAAGTAACCGTAGTCTACGTCAGTAAAGGAAATTTGTCGCTGCCTTCACAGCTTTCTACATAACATCTGCTCTAAACATGGAACATGTCGCAAAAAATGGGGCGAGGTGTGATGTTTGGGGCCACACTACGAGAATGAATGTCATATTCGTAATCAGGGCATCGAATTACCCCAATAGGCAAAGTTTCGACGAAAAATGAAACTTTGAGATTTTGGGGCAGTAATAGTGGAATAATGATGCCCAATCGGCAATAGGGGAAGGCTGAAAACGGTGAAAAACCAAAGTTTCAACTGGGAGGAGTAATGCATATCATTCGATAGCATTTTTCACGGGGAATCCAATGGGGCACATCTCAGGTCTGCGAGTTCATCTGGAAATGCAAAAAATCTGATCTTTCCACAAGGGCATGACGAGGAGGCATTTTCACAGCCACAGCACGGCGGAAGCGCTCGTCTACAAGCAAGTATGTCATCTTATTTCTACACTCAAGTAAGCGTACTCTACAACAGTAAAGAGATTTTCCCTCTACCTCCTCAGTTTCGGAAAAACCTTCGCTCAAACATTGGAAAATTTCACCAAATAGGCTAGGGCATGACGAGGAGGCATGTTCATGGCCACAGCACGCAGGGAGCGGTCATCTGCAAGCAAGTGTGTGATCTTATTCCTACACACAAGTAAGCGTACTCTACAACTAAGAAATTTCCCCGCTACCTCCTCAGATTTCGGAAAAACCTTCGCTCAAACATTGGAAAATTTCACCAGATAGGCTAACTGTCCAGCCGAGAATTGATCTATGATTTCCATTTGAACACGAGAGGAGGAGATGTTGAGCGCAGGGACTACGTGTTAAGTCATTTAACGCGCCGCTGTGGAATAGGGACCATGAAATCTGGAAAAAAGCAATCGATCCATTCACAATACAATGGACGATGTTGAATACGCGGCGCGTTCTGGGGCAACTGCTGAGACCCATCTCTCTGAAGAACGATCATGATGCATAAGCGGGATTATATGCGCACCACATTCAAACAATTTTTTCTCGAGCCAAAGCTCGAGTGCATGGCGCAATCTGAAGTAGGGCTTTCCAAAAGTTTAAAAGCATATTCTTATAGAACTCGACGAGCTGAGTTCAATGCTTTTTTCAGATTTCGAAAATCTTAATTCTGAAGCGAGTTATAACGAAAAAACGAAAAAAAACGCGAATTCGCGTTTTTCGCGTGTTTTTTTCGATTTTTTACGGCGAGTACCGTAGTTTTCCACATGGTTAGACTCGCCACAGAGAGACGAGTCCAAAAAAAAAAAAAAAAAAAAAAAAAAAAAAAAAAAAAATAAAAGAGACGAAAAAAATGGTGTAGAGCACCAATCATTTGACCCGCTTTGGGGGGAGTTATGAAGGGGCGACGCTTTGCGACGCTGCAAATCCGTCGCTCAGCGGAGAAATTTCAAAAGTTAGTGGCGGTATTGTATTGCGGTGTTACGTCATTAACCAGGTGTTCTCGACATCGGTCAACAGCAACTCAAGACAGGAGTCGTGAGAAGACGGCGCTCAAGTCCTTTGGCAGAGGGGGGACTTCAAAACAGGACCAATGGTAACACTAGGACTGAAGTCCAGGAGAGGGAGAAACGCTAGGAAGAACACAATCTGCTCACATCCTCCCCCAGAGTCCTTTTCCCTCCTGAGATTTAGTCCCAAGTGCTGTAAGTGGCTCACTCACTTGAATGCCCTCCCCCAACGACATGAGCGTAGATAAGCCTTTCGGACAAAGCTATCAGTGATAATAGAATCTTTTACTTGAAGACATCAGAACAGCGATCACCCACACATATGCTACCCATTGATATTGGGGAGAGTGCAATCATTATGTTGGGCTGTGAACTATGCATTCAATGGAGAAACTGTTACCCGGTTGAAAGCGGCTTTCACTTTTTGCATATCAGCACTTCGCTCGATCTCCACTTTCTCACGCTCAATCGTCGTGTCTTCGGTGCCCTTCTCGAACCTGTAATGTTTCGCAATTAATGTCCTAATTAATAATAGGGTATAAGATGGACATTGGAACTAATAGATTATCATAGTGATACTTTGTCATTAGTCACATTTATATTACGGAAGGGGTAAAGAGTAAGAGCAATGAGGAAAAAGACGAGGAAAAATGTTCAGATCTTCATAAGTTGATTTCAATCAAAGGACATCCCATCATCAACCTGGCGTGGGTCGTGCGCTAACGAATAAAGGTACGAGTAAGACTCAAACGGAAGTGAGGTAGAAGGAAAAAAGCCATCGAAAACGCCGATTTAGGGGCTTATCCATATTTGTGGGAAGAGTATTCTAAAAGGCAGTGAGAATTGAGCGCTGAGATGATAGAAAGGCGAAGGGATTCAATAGATAGGAGGGAGCAGACACCTGCATTTTGCAATGACAAGAAGTGGAAGCGGTTGAACCGGCCTTGCCAAGATCCTAGCGCACCTTTCGTGTCCTTTCAAGCCGGCGAAGCGGGACATCTGCGACCTTGATGGACAACTGCGTTCTGTCCACTGTAGGGTACCTAGCAGTCATTGTGAAATGGACTTGCAGAGATTTGTAGCGAGCTCATAAAAACTCGCTCTAGTCT